AAAAACAAGACTTAATGTTAACAATTAATTAAAGAGGACAATAATGCAATATATGAGAGGAATCAAATAAGACTTATGATTTCACCTATTACACCTTTTTATGTTATGATTATTTTAATCTAAGTATTGATATCTGAGTATTTGCCAACCACTCATACTAGTTCTATTAATATCCAATGATCATGCAATATCAATATTCTTTTCCTTGAGCAATTACCCTCAATGATCATGTGAGGCAAATGGTCGAGAAAGCATAAAGATCCTATGAGTTTGTTAATTCAATAATGGTTGAAAGAGAGGAATTAAGTGTGATTAACCTAACCCTTTATCTCGTTTTATCCTATAGTTCCATTAATTACACATGGTACGATTGCCTACGATGCAACTAATTATGGGATGCTAAGGGTGATCAATTCTTAACATGCATAATATGATTCAATAGGATAAAATTCAAACAATAAAGGAAAACCAGTACTGATATTAAAAGTAAAAATTATACAAAGTATATTATAGGATCCACCGTAACCCTAACTATGGATTTAGTTACTGATAATGAAATAAACAACCAAAAACATAATGAACCAATCCATCAAACACCAAGGATAATTTAAACAAGAGAAACCCAAGAAGTGAAAAGATGAAAAGAGTTCTCGCTTTCCAAAGGTGCTCGATCGCTCGCTTGGACTCTGAAAGGATTCCTCATTTTTGCCAATGAAGTGAAAAAAGTATGTCAAGTGTGGAGCATAAGGCCTCTTTATATAGGATGTGCCCTGAATTCTTAGTCAGTTGAGCTCTATCTTTTTGAATCGGTTTTATCTACAATCAGAATCTTAACTTCAAAATCTCAACTGAAAATTGCTATAAACCTTCATATATAAATCTTTATCTAAGTTTAAATTTTAAATTCAAAATTCACACTAAGATTCACATAACATAACCAAGGACTAAAATTATCTAATTTTTATTTAGAATATTTTTATAATGCACTGATAATAACTTCTAGCTAAATTATAATAATTAATAACATAATTAATGTAAATATATATAAAACAAAATCTAATTGTATAAATATAAGTCATAAAATATATCAAAATATGAATATATCAAACACCAATATTCTTAAAGATAGCTTTAAGCCTTTAGCAAAATATCTTTAATAACCTTCTTGTTTAGAGGTTTTTCAATCATGATTTTACATAGTAAAGCATGGTCCGAAATTTGTAATGGACCATATAAATACTTATCTAACTACATTAGGCACCTTCTCTACCTTCCAAACTACTTTTATTCTCTGCTACCTCCATTCAATCTATTCTGATCTAGTGGTGGAGAATGGACATATTGTTTTTTTCTAAGGTATAGAGAGATTGTATCCCACTGCTTGTTTAAGATAACATGAGAATAACCAAAACAGCAAAATCCTTGGCCTGATACAAAGAGCGAAAACTCACTCATACACATAGAGACATGGTTCAGTTTCCACTACCTGCTCTTTTGGTCTTATTTCCACTAAATTTGCACAAGAACTTGAAGTTTTAGCAGTGGTACAATGTAAGCAATTAGAAAACAAGTAGATTAGAAGTAGTTTGGGCTAAAGTTCTAAATAACTTGGGCTTTTCATATTTCACTGAATTAGCGCATACAAATTTCCTTAACTTGAACTCTCATTGTTGACCAAAAAATTATTTGAATTATCGTTGACCTCAGAGCAAAAAAATAATAATTATTGACCAACAAAAAAAAATATTAAAGTAAAAAAAAAAAAAAAGGAAGTTAAATAACTAGAACGCTTTTTTAAGCATTTTGTGTCACAGCGTTAGATTCTGTCCTATTCGATTTTGTTTTTTGTTTTAATGTTTATACGAAATATAACAGTACAATTATCAAATTTATAATTTAACCTAATCGATAACAAATGACAAAAAGAAGTCCTATTATTATCCCTTTAACAATAACCAATATGGAATATAACACATTCTAGATATAATGACTTGTATCTGAATGACTTGTCTTCCATTACATTTTTGCAACCAAATTAAAGTAATTTAAAGTAATATACTAGTTTAAAATTTAAAATATTCTTATTTAATAATATTATTACTGTGTTTTTATTATATTTACTATTGTCTCTATGTTGTAAATTTTTTTTAAATTAACGGTTGTAATTTTTTAAACATCTTAAAAATTAAAAAGTATTTATATATTTTTTAAATAAACTATTAATATCATTATCTATTAATATAAAAACAACGATGATAATTATTTTACATGTGAGATGTCACAGAATATTTTTTAATTTAAAAGACAAACTAAAAATTACTATTTTTTATTAGTAAGATATATATATTTTAGTAAAATTTTAATAAATTTATTAATTAATATTTGTATAAGATTTTATATGAAATTCATCTTTAAAATTATAAGTATAAATTAATTTAAGTTATAAAATTATTACTTCAATATATAATTTTAAAATTAAGATATTTTAGTCTTTATTATATTACTATAATTTTAAAATTCGAACAATCATTACTGATCATATTAAACAAGAAAATAACTAAACTAAAAATGATAAGAATTAAAAGAATATTTGTACAATATTAAAATCATGAATAATTAAATTTTGAGGGGATATTAAAGGTTATTTTTATTTAATAGGACGCGATTGAATGAGATGAGTGAATTCAAAGAGTGATGGCTACAATGTCCAAAAATGGGTGGTTTTGTAAAAGGCAAACAGCTGTATAGAGCATCCTTTGAAAGTTCCAACAACAAAGCAACCTTTGTCTCGTAAAGATAGCGTAACAGAGCCACCGTCCCAAACCCTACCTACGCGTACACACCGCCACCACCCTCCATTCATCATTTTCCAAACTCTTCTTCTACTATTCTACTAGTAGACCCTTTTTTTACCATAACAATTCCATTTGAAACTTCATGTCACCACATTTAAAACTATAGTTAGTTGATGTTGAGATATAATTATCATTAATCAAAGAATGTTATTTCAAGTTGTTTTCACTAATAACTATGGACCATTTTCTTTTGGGTACAATGTTATCTTTTGTTTGTACTTTAATGTTACTCGTGAAAAAAGAATCTGATAGAAGCGTAAAACTTAAGTCTTAAAAAAGAGTTTTAACAGCTATGTTATTGTTGGGAATGAATGACTATGTACTTTTACTAATTCAGCGATTGACTAACTTGGCAGTGAAAATTTGTAAATGTTTTGGAATAAGAAATTTAAAGCACAACCATAATCAACATGTGGTTTGGTGGTAGGTAAATGGAGCACCACACATTTACAATTTTGTGCAAATGTCAATCATAAGAAACAAACGTAATCGATTTTTTTTTATTTGTTTATTTTTGTTATTTCTAGCTTTTACAAATTAAATACCTTGACTCATTATTTATAATTCTTAAAATTTAAAAATAAATTATTGTTCTAGATATACCAGGATCTCGTAATCTTTTCAAGTGAAATGACAGTTTTAGAAATTTAATTATAAGTTGTAATAGTTGATTAATAAATTAGCAAAAAGGAAAACTATTATGTGTTATGTAAGCGTTCATATTTTATAAATTCTTAAACACGTAATTTTCCTATCAAGTTGCAAGTAATTTATATTTTGTATGTATTTTAAAAATTGCTTCTTATAATATTACAATCATTTGTACTCTTGACACCGTCAATAGAAAAAAAAAATCATTTTCTAATAGACATATATTATTAACATAATGCATTATAGTGCACTGTAGATTGATAATATTTATATTAATAGTTCAATTTCTATCAAATAGAAGTTATATCAATCTATAAACAATTTTAATGTTGTCATTTGCTCAAGACGGCAAGTGAACGTTTAACCACAATATAGCTTGCAAATGATATATTTAGTGATAATGATTTCTTTTTAATCTTATATATGCACTAGGTGCATTTATTAAAGAGCAAAAAAGTGCAGCAATTTCTTTTCTATAACAACTTCTTCTTCTTCTTTTTGTTTCTTTAACCTTTGTACCTGATGAAAGGATAAAAAAAATATATAAAAAAAATCTATTTAAAAACATGTAATCAGATTTAGTAAAATGGTACATGTATGAAAGAGCTTAAGCTTAAAACGAACGTACTTTGCATCGTAAGGAGATACTCGAAAACGGATGCATTATATTTCAGTGAATCTCTGTAGAAAGTCATATTAAGCGATTCAAGTATCATCCATCTTCAGACTCGTACCTAAGTAAAGACTATTTATTTGTACTTTTTGAACAAAACATTTTAATTAAAAGATCTGTAATCAGATTAAAAACTCACTGACAGCATCCACAAAATTTCACACAAAGTTAAAATAATTCACGTTTGAAAACTTGATAAAATCACGACGTGAAAGTTGGAACTTGTAATATTGAAATTGATTTATGTTTGAATGGATTTGATGAAAAACAAATACTCAGATAATTAATAAATGTTTCTGCGTTCACTTGGTTAGTCGATAAAAATTGAGTTTTAATTTATACTAATTTTTTTTCACCTAAGCTAACCCACTTCTTTTCTTTTGTGCTAAGTAGCTCTTGGCTTCATTTACACCACCAATACTCTGACAACAAGCTTGGACTATACGATGGGCCTTCTTTAATAACCATTATTTTTTAATAACAACAATTAACAAAGTATTTATACACAAATTGATATAATACAAATTGAATATCAAAGGATTTATGAATTAATTAATGGCACTGCTAAAATCAAAATCTTCAATATAAAATAGTACCTTTGGTGTGACATCACAGAGATTCAATAATGCAAAGGGCTAGTAAACGTGCCCCATTGCTCTCTCACTGACAGCATGTTCCCCACTTACGTGTAACTACGACGAAGCTTACCCTCTTCTCAACACAACCAAGACATTTGTTATATATCATCATTCATCACATCACTCTCTCACACTCTTCTCTTGTCCCACCAATTAGTAGCAAACTCTCTTCATTCAAATTCAATGGAAGAACAAAGCAGCATGCAAGAACATGTCATGGCTCCAACAATATCATATCGAGGAGTTCGAAAACGAAAATGGGGCAAATGGGTATCAGAAATTCGTGAGCCAGGGAAGAAAAGTAGAATATGGTTAGGGAGCTATGAAGCACCAGAAATGGCTGCAGCAGCATATGACGTGGCAGCGTTGCACCTCAGAGGACGCGCTGCAAGGCTCAATTTTCCTGAATTGGTTGAGTCTCTTCCAAGGCCAGCAAGTTCTAGAGCTGAGGATGTGCAAGCTGCAGCTCATCAAGCAGCAATGAGGTTCAAGAGATCACCAATAGTGTTGTCATCTAAGGAGTGTAGCAATAATAACAATAGCAATATTAACAATGGTAATAATAAGGGTAGTGTTGATCCTGTGAGGGTGGGGTTGTCACCTAGCCAAATTCAGGCCATTAATGAGTCACCATTGGATTCACCAAAGATGTGGATGCAAATGGCTGAGGCACTCAAGTTTGGGTTTGATGAGTCTATGATGATGGTGTGTTGTGGTGGTGGTGATGATTGTGCTTTGGAGTTGAGTGGATGGGAAGAAATACAGCATGAGTCCTTGTGGGACTCATGAAATTAATTATGATTGAAAAATCAATGCAATCCTTGATATAGGGTTCAATATTGTATACAAAATTTAAAGCACCATGACCATGTTAATTAGAGTCAAGAGTGAATGAGGCTAATTCAATGAAGCAAAAGGATTATTAATTATTTGTCAATTGCATATTTGTTTATCCTTTGCTTCTGTACATGTAAGTATTTTTTTTGTGTATTGTTAATTTCTTAATCATCCAATTGCTTATTCATAAATGGCGCTTATTCTTCGTTTACGGTACGTAACTCCTGATTAGCACCTATCCAGGATACAAATTGCAGTGCATAAGAATGTTGTAAGAATAAAACTTGATGCTTTTTCCAACATGTAATTAATTTTCATCTGACATAGGTAGAACTTTGCATCAATGAATATATTAATTTCAGAGGCAAATGAGAATTCCAATTTGGAAAGCTAATTGTTTTATATATTTGTTTCATGCGGATGTACAAAACTACGTTTGATATTACACTTGTATTTTTAAACATATTTATAACTTCTAAGCTCGATGAATAGTGTGTATTCACAATGTTTCTTATTATATTTTTAGATACGTCAAAACTTTGCTTCAAATCAAATTTTATTTATACTTGAACATTGTCACGTGGAGGCAACGGAAAAAAAAAGGGGGCTTTTTACTTCAACTTTTTTTGCCTACACATGCGACGAAATTCTCGAATCCATTGACCTCGTCGTCCTTAAATTTATTAATTTTATAATTTCTGGGTAAGCAATTAATTAGAAGAGGGTGTTGAAGAGTTGTTTATACAAAAATGAAGATAAAGAGAAGAACGATAAAAAATTAATGTAGCAATCGTTTTTCTTGAGCCGGCCAAATCTATTTGGACATGACTGGCAATGACTTTCGTGTTAGGAATTTACCATTGACATTTCACAGTCACATTTCTAACTAACACTACTTTTGAAAATTAAGATGGCTAAGTGCAAGTATAGTGTGCCACCTGCTTGCTTAACACAGTACGTTCATTAATATTTATCCATAATTATTGTAAATAAATTAATTAGTTCGTGTAAAATGTTAAGAATTTTTTTGTTTTTCAAAGTAAAATAAATAGGTAATTTCGATGGTGTTTTAAAACTTCTAAAAAAATTCTATATTCTTTAGTGGGTGATATAATCATCACTGTTGATGCAACATTAAATATATATGATAAATAATAATAGTTATTGATTGATGTTAAGAAACATTAATATCTCATAATTTTTAAAATATTGTAAGAATTACCAATGTAAATATATTTATCTTATCTATTAATATAAAAAGATATAAAATGTGCTTTCAATTTCATGGACACAATAATAAGCACATTATGTGTTAATATCAGAAAATATAATTTTAGATAACTTATTTTTTCTATAGTTAAAATTTTATTTAAAATTAAAATAAAAGCCAAGTAGCCCTATAAATGGCATGTTTACCATTCGCCTCTCTCAAAAACTTGATGGAATTAAAGACGTGATTAGAAATAGCACTTAATCAAGCATTTATGTAATACAATTTATTTGATTTTGTTGCTCATTAAAGGTTTATTTGTTTTTAATAATAAATACAATTGTCCTTTTTTAATGGGAAAATCACATCCCTCTTGGTTCCATTACTTGATAACACATTGTATTGCATAGGGCTTTAATTTAAACATTAGTAAAAGATTTGCGTAAAACATTGTATTCAGTGACAAGCAGGGTAATACATTTAAGATTAAAGGTAGAAGAACACTCAAGTTTCAGACTTGGGATTGTCCATTGGGAAACAGCTCACGTGGATATAGTCATAGGTGTATAACAATGCCACGGTTGGTGTTTAGAGTGAAATAAGAAAAAAAATAACATAAATCTTAGTGAATTGTTATAAAATTCTATTTTGAAAGTAATTTTTCAATTAGCTGTAAATAGAATAAGAATTTAAATCCAAACTAATTGTTAATGGAATGAATAATCATAATTAGAAAATTTGAAAAGTCTAATTCATAAAACATGTATCAGAATATTTTAGAGACATATAATTACATAATTTTTAATAATGAGAATCCAACTTTATGATATTGGTACAATATTCATTTTAGTGTCATTCAAGATTCAAAATTTTAAAACAAATTAAACAAAGATATAAAGGTCCACATGAAATCCCATTACACAAAAAATTCAAAAGCACATCCACATCTTAAAATTACATTTAAGTAAATATTATAGTTAAGCACTTATTAAAAAGGTTTTTGTTAAATAAAAATTTATTCAAAAGTTTAGCTATGAAGATTATAAAAATAAGATAAAAATAACTTATTTAAATAGTTTTTTTCAAAAACTTATTATAAACAAAAATAATTAATTCTTTTCACTACAAGAAAATGATAGTTTATCTATGACTAATTATGACATTATCGAGGATTTAAATTTTTATAGATTGCAAAATTGTAGCTAATTCAAGCTTAGAAAACAAATTATTTAACCTCCGTTAGTTAGCTGCAATTTGTGCTAACAACGGTTAATTACCTGCAACTTGTGCTAAGTGCAGTTAATTATCTGCGTTTTTAGAATCTTCGTTAATTGCCTGTAGTTTCAGAACCTCCTTCAATTACCTACGATTCTAATAAATTGCTTACAATTTTAGAATCCCTATTAAATACATGTACTAAAAATTATATAATTCTTTTTTTATAATTGAAATTGAGTTCAATTTTTTTAGCTACCTATATATTATATAATATTTACATAAAACAATTTATTTTTAATTGATAAATATAAAAAATTTAAAAAATCACAACATTAAAACACTTATATAAAACTAAAAGTTCATAATGTAACACCAATAACAATATTCTAATTAAAATAAAATATGTTATGTCTTTAATTCATAGATGAACTACTCATAATTTTTTAAGAAAATTACTTTTCAGCAATAAGAATTTGTATAATAATGATAAGTCACTTAGTTAGTTGTATACTTCCTTGATCAAATACTCATAAAGTTTGAAGGTTTTTTTGCCTGACTAGAGTTAAATTAAAAAAAAAATACTTAAATAAGGTTTTGGAAAAAAAAAAATTTCTTGTCTCAGGTGAGAATTACATGTAGCATAAGTGTTATCTAGGTAGTTACTGACATTAAAATCAAGAATTGTCGCAAACTAAGCTAATACTCATCATTGTGTGACACGTGTCTCACGTAAAAATGGAAAAAAAATAATAAAAAATATTCAAATTTAATCGATAGCTAGGAAAGGTTGACAATACGTGGTAAAATTATGTGAGTCAGCTATGTTAAATATGAATGTAGTGTCAGTTTGGTCAGAGATGATACTTGTGTGATTGATCCATATGATATTAGACTAAACAGTTACTTAACATGCTTAACTTTTTTTTTCCCCTTCTTCTGTGTTCAATCTTCTTTATAAAATTTCCCCTTCTAACGATAAAAAAAGAATAGCAAAACTTTGGGTGTGTTTTTGCTCATTTAGTAGTAGCCTAAGATCGTTATTGTAACATTATGAAAGGTAAAAAATATATATAATTTAAATACATTTCAATTTTTATTTTTTTATTTTTTGCATGACTAAAAGTGTGTAACGTTAAAATAGTAGTGCAAGTGGTGAGGAGGCGAGCGTGGTTGTGTTTGACGTTGTAAGAAAAATACTGAGAAAGAAAAGAAGAATTCAAGGTCTAGCTTCACATAGATGTGTTTTTTTTTTTTTTTTAAAAGAATAAGTGCATATATATATATAATTTGTTTTACTATTTGTATAAATAAAAATGTTAAATTAATTTAGAATTAGAAATGGTATAATATTAGTTTTTAATGGTTCTAATTTATTTGTTTAAAGGATGTACTATTTTAAAATTAAAGTGATTGAAATATATTTAATTATTATAAATGGAAAATATATTTAAAATTAATATTTAATAATTTCAATCATATTACATTCTCTTATTATATACTCATCATCATCACTTACATAAACATGAAAAAGTAATAAATTTAAAGGTTTTGTTAATCTCAGCCCTTAGAGTTGAGAATAAACAGCTAATAAAAGTAAAATTTTATTAAAAAGAGAAATATTTATTGTATTTTTATAACTTCAATACAATAATTGTGTACTTTTTTAATAAAAAATTTCTATTTGTGGATGATTAAACTCAACCCTAAGAGTTAAGGTCAATAAAAACCCTAAATTTAATTCTAACGATTGTACCATAAAAAAAGAAGTTTGACCAATTATAACATCCACATATATTTCAACTATATTTTTTTGTATTTTTTTTGTTGACACACACTTATCATATAATTAATATCATCACATACATTTAAAATTGTGTGTTCTCAGCGATCACTTATCTCAACTAAAATTCGTGAAATCAATCTAGAAATTATATGACTATGAGAAAATTTTAATCTTGTATGAATCTTTCTTTTAACATTTGAAATATGATTTCATGTTCTATCTTAATTATCTTTTTCTTTCCTTCAAAAGCTATACTCTCATTTTTTTCATACAATATTCTACCACTTGAATGTAAAATAACTACAATTTCATTCAACATTTTATTATCATAACAATTATTTTAAAATACAATGAATTTATATTTATTTTTAAACAAATAATTAAGAAATAAAATTCTAATTGCAAAAATATAACCTACTAATTTTCACAATAGTCTTTACATTTACTATTTTCACACAAAACATATTCAAACTTTAAGTTAAACAATATTCAAATAATTCATAACAATTAATTATATTATAAATAATTAAGTTATAAAAAATTAATTTATAATTCCTTTTTATTCACACATAAAATATTTCATCTACAAATAATAAAAAATTCTTAATACAAAAAAAATTAATAAAATAACTAAACAAGTAATAATTAGAGTATATATACTTTATTCATATTTATTTCTAAATATTATAATTAATTTATTAATTAATAGACATAAAAAAATTTATAAATTATATCTCAAATGAAAAATAAAATTATATAGAACAAAGATCATTGCTTCTTAAAACACAGCAAATAAATTATGAATATTGAATAGATACTTTTTAAGATAAAAATGTCATTAACCATATTCAATAATTTTTTTCCGCACGAGCAATAAGATTAAGATAGTTTTAAGAAGTTTAGAAAAACTCACATTATTTTCTTCATATTTAATTAACTTTCAGTGATCATTAACCTCTCTCTTTCCTTTCTTTCTCCTCAACATGATATCTAAATAAACCCGCTGGTCTCCCTTATTGAAATATCCAAAAGAAGGGGAGAGTACTCAATCACCTTCTACATCTTAAATACACTTTATTTTGCCTTCAGTCGTGTAACCAAATCGTAAGTTCAAATTCTCATTGCAACTGCCTCCATCAAACAGACAAAAACAAGTCATATACCCAGCTACTTGTAGTTGAAAATATAGAATGCGAGAACATGACAATAGTCATGTAAATGCGAAAAATTTTCACCTAAAGTCTCTTCAAGGCTGCTTAATCCAAAGATTGAATATCCTTTGTTTGAACTTTAGCTTACCCTCCTCTTTTCCATACCATTACCGAATTCAGCTAAGCAAAACCGAAATAAACCATAACACAACATAATGAGTTCAGCTAAGCACAGTGCTAAACTGTGATTCCAATTAAATCAATACTGATAAGAATGTTTATATTTTGAATATATAATTTGTTACACCAGCCAATATTAGGCAGCTTTTTTAGAAGCAATGCGAAATGAACAAAATAGCATTGCAGACCAATGTAGCCTACATTATTTGCCTGAGATACAGTACTTACTGCATGGCAGAATTAAATGTCCGAAAACTAAATCTCCATAACTTCAAATGCACACCGCAAAATTGAATGGTATAAAAATATATAATCACTGTGCAGTGGATTCTTTCAGATATGCAATAAGATCAGCACGTTCCTGGGGCTTTTTAAGACCAGGAAATACCATCTTTGTCCCTGGAATATACTGCACAAAAGCAGATCACAAACAAAGCAGATCAGTGATATGTTGCGGTGGAAAAAAAATGTCTCAGCATCACCATGCAATTGAGCTTATTACCAAACAATTCAAAACAGTAGAAAACATTAAACTCCATAGTGAAATGAATACAATGTAGGCTGTACATGATTAACATTTATTCAGAGATATTGGTAAAACATCTCTCATATTTGGATAATCAGTGACTAATGGTCTTTCAATCCAGAAATGCCAGGTTTTATTGTACCTTTTTGGGGTTAAGCAAGTAGTCATATAGCGTCTTTTCTTCCCAAATCACGGCCATATTCTTGTTAGCTGCAGAGTAGGAATAGCCAGGAGTAGTGCCCGATTGCCTTCCAAACAAACCATTCAGATTGGGTCCTGAGATTGTCAAAAAGAATAATATTAGAATAAATAATGGCATTATTCAAGAGGGTGATAGAACAGAAAAACAATTATATAACTGGTACAAGAGATGGTCGTCAGATGACTGTCAACCAATATTGTAAAGACAAGGAAGCAATGTATAAATTAGTGACCGATTAAGATTTGTTTCTACACATTTTTCAGAAGAAAAACCAAGAGAGAATCTTGTGACAATGAAAACACAAAAAAAATACACGAGAACAAAAACCATCACTGATTCACTACAAATTACACGGATCCAGAACTTAATAAACAATAAAGAAAATGAACAGTAATCCTAACATGATCTTCAACTCAAGAACACCAATCATGTATTAAAAAAGATTTCAAGATGGATGACTGATCAGGCATGAGAAACCAATTCAACCAACCATTCAAAATCAAAACATGCTTTAGAAAGATTTGATCGAGTTTCAACCTCATGAATAAAATATGTAGAAGAAACTTTCACAAATCACTAGAAACAATATTATAAGGAATTCACAATCTCAACAAAACTATAAATTAAGTACTGTACTGATTAGGAAGCATTGCTTACATCAGAATGTTAACATTACAAGCACTGATGCTTTTTAGCTTAAGGTATTTAATGAATGTCTGAGCTAGCTATCGTTACTGAGTTGATCAAATTGTCTATTAGGCCAATTTTCAGGCACTGAAAATTGGAAATCAATGTATTCACAATTTTGTCCCTGCAAATGCTCTCTACACTTTGTTTAAACTTTAAAATGAAAAATTACAATTGTAAATCACCTAAAGGTTTTAGACTACCTACTGAAATCAAATTTGGTAAAATCATAATTCCAAATTTATTTAATCTTACAGTAAAGCTAGCATGAACCAGAGAAATTCTTGGGCGGGAACTTTCTACCATAGGCATGCAAATCAACCTTCGACATGTGTAAAGTTGTAGTAATAGCAATATGCGCATTTTTAACATGACTAAATCAGTTTGTATTTCAAGGAATAATAATTATCTTCGTCCAATCATCATCACATGAAAGAACAAGGCAAAAGTAACAGGAGGAATTTCAGTTCCTAAGCTTCAGAGTTAGGTATCTTCCTCAGCGTTCTACAACAATAAAATGACATTATGGACATGAAACCGCAACTCATAAAATCGACAACATCCGATCTTAAGTTTTAAGTAGACCAGAATAATTACTAATTAATTGAGGATCCAAAGGAATTATCGAATACCTTCAACGGAACTATCGAACACAAAGTACTACATACCGACGAACATTCAAGTTTCAACCGCAGATTGCTTTGCAAGGTTTCAACCATCTTAATCACAGTTAGACCAAAATTATGACACGAAGACAATTGACAGAGTCGAACCGAATGATAAAATAGGCAATTAAACGGATCATTCAAAAGAAATAAAAAAAAAATATTGTGCATCAACAGTTCACAATAACAACTACACATCACAATACATAAACACAAATTACGTGTAACGTACGAAGAGAGCGGAAATAGCAAATATATCAACAAGGCCAATGTAAAACTAGAGAGAAGATTTAAAGATCCACGTCTTATTTTGCTTAAATTCAATAAATAAGGTAGAGATCCAAACAAGATTCAAATCGATAGTTTGTTTGTTCACAGTGTAATAATAACGAGGAATAGGTAGAGGAGAACGAACCTTGCTTGTGACCGGCACCTTTTTCAACGGTGTGGCACTGAGCGCACTTGGTCCTGAAGATTTTCTCACCGGACTTGGTATCGCCGGGGGGAGCAAGATCGAACGATGCCATATGAAGACGGCGTTTGCTTCACGAAAAGGTTTGGAGAAAGCGAACGAAAAAATAAAGAGGGAAGAGTTGTGGCGTGCGGAAAGCTGGTAGGGAATGGACTATTGAGAATGTAGAAATGTATAAATAGCCGAAGTGCCAGGGTGGGAAATTGGAACGCGGGCTCCACGGGGCTCCTAAGCCAGCCCTAACTTTTTTTCGTTGACGTGGACCGTTTATGGCGTTCCAATTTTTTTTTATTTTAGGTCGGTAGCGTTTGCTTGAGGCGAAGGTTGGCTTTCGCCATGTCATTTGCATGAACGTTAGTTATTTTGTTCTGTAAGAGAGTGCCTCTGTCTAAGATTGAAAGGCCCATAGAAATAGAGCTACTATGTTGGTGGAGACTAGGTAAAATTGTTGACTAAATAATAGTTTATTAGTCTCGTCATTGAATTAAACCTGCTTGAGCTCGACTCTTTTTAAAAGAAAGTTACATATTAATTTAGCTTGATTCAAACGAAGATTTTTTTTTCCCCTCTTTTTCTTGGTAATATTTTTTTATTGTCGATTTAGACTACTGATGTAGATATTTTAATTCAATTAAAAATATGATATATGCCGTAAGAAAATAATATCAAGCCGATATCATGTCTTAAAAGCATTCATGATATTTATAAATTTAGTAGTTAATTGTATAAAACTGTTTTTGTTCAAATTTTATTTATTAATATCAATTCATATTTATTTACACAAGTCTTATATTTGTGGATTTTCTTGAATTCTATAACGCTTAACAGACGTTGCATAACTGAACAATAATCCCTTTCTAAGGCATAAAAATTACAATTAAAGGCTATTTATAAAAGTTTTTTATAATATATCTCATTCTTATGGGACGTTTAAAGTGTGCTTTAGTGAGTAGGATAATGATTATTCAAAGATTTAGTAGGTAGATTTAAATTTTTAATACTCACTGCAATCGTCTTGAAGTTGAGAAAATGTATATTCGATGTTTGAATGGAACATGAAAAATTCAGTGAATTATAAGCAGCAACCTTCGTCACGGACAATTTGAAAGTCAGTTGCCAAACCTTTGTATGAGCTCATGACCAAAAGGATTAGAAGTCAATAAAAAATGTGGTGCTAGGGTTACCATTTTAATTCCTTCTCCATAAGGCTACCTTGTTGATCTCTAATCCGCCTTATTTTGGACACATCTGAAAGAAAACAATTTTGTTCAAGAAATACTCCATTACTTAAACCTTAAAAAGTGTGAACTACAATCACAGGTACCATTCCACTAAGAAAAAATCACACATATCCCGTTAACCTTGCTTTTTCCGGATGCATAATTTTTTTATAGCTTGATTTTTCGGTAGTATTTCCTACTTTAAATATGAGATGCCTAAACTTTGGCGTGGATAATATGGATGGGGACACTTACTTCACTAGCTAAGTGCGCAAATCTATGTCCAACCTCATCTTCCCTACTGCTCATCAAATTTGATAATAATCTGAAATATACAATAGTTTCACCTGCCCTACTCCTCCACCAAAACGGAGAGGTATACATAATAATATTAAACTAAAAGGAAGGTCAAAGTAAGAAATCCAACGGCATGCTGCAGTAGTTGTCATTCTTGGTTCTCTAACACCTGATTCAAGGCTTCGAAAAGGCCGGCTTGCCAAGACCGGGTATCTGCAAAACAATTTTGTCAACAATTATTTGAACCGAATACTAAGTGCAATAATCAAATTAAATGTAAAATATCTTTCTTCAGCAATGCACACCATAACAATATTTTTTAATTTTTAATTCTATCTAAATTATTGAAGAATTGCAAATTGAAACTTTATCCCTCAATGACGTAAGTGTAATTATTTGTCAACAAAATGCAAAAATCATAATGTGGGAAAGGAGTAATAAAGATTACTGGAGAAGTAAAGATTGGGAGTTGAGGTTCATCCATGCCTCAAAGAGCCTACTGTGGCATATATTGTATGTCTAACTAGGTAATGTATGATGACTCTGAACTGCATGAAAGGGTATATCTTTGCTTTTGATTTCTGAAACTTCAGCGGCCTATCTACTCTAGGAACTATTTGATTTTTTATTTATTTGCCCTCCAATATACCCCACTCGTTCCCACTCCCTGGAAAAGGGGGAAAAAACTCTACTTTCCACTAAGTTGAGGTTGATGATCCCAATTGAAGTGCCTATTTACAATGGAAGGTCACAAACATAAAGTAATCCATCTAGAATGGAGACACTCTAACCCATGTCCCGATACAATAAAGACAAAGCCAAAACATTCTCACTATAAAGACATAACCCTCTCATAAATGCTACAATAGTACTGGTATGGTGGTACCATCTCCAGGACAGTTGTAAAGAGATCAGCAAGACACATACCTCAATTCCATGAGGGCCTATTCGGTTACGAGAAATGAAGTTGATGATCAGAGTTGCAAATTCATCAGGTACATCCTCCTAAATATATTAGGCTAGAAGTTGTTAGATTACAAGTTAGAGAAGAAACCTGTAACAACATAATGAATGCAGAAAGAGGCAGGGCTAGTACAAACCTGAATAGCATGCCCTGTATGTCTTACAACTACCATCTGAAACTTCCCTTGCATTTGACCAATTGTGAGAGACCTGTCATAGGAACCATGCCAAGAAAATATCAGAACTTCACTTGAACAATTCCACTTTCTAACAACCAAAAGAGAAAGAATACAGGGAACAGAATAACACAATATACAAAGCTATTTATACCAAAATTATTCATGTAAAAAGTTCATATTAGCACCCAATGATATATTACCCCCATCTTCATATTAAAATTTATATAAATCCTTCTTATTCATCTAAAACAAATAACGAAACTTACAATCTCTATACTGTTGCATACTAGGATGATGCTAAGGTTGACCTAAACGTTAATTTCTATGAAGAACATAAATCATATTTGCTTATCATCATGAATTTCAAATTGGAATTCAGGGTTATGCTTATTAATGCTACCATTATGTACTCTAACAAAGGAAAAGAAGGAAAAGGAAAAATGAGAGCATGGGACACAATCTTTCTGCTGGTACTAGTGTATCACAAGCAATAAACTGAGAAATAACTCAATCCCTATTCCTTCATTGGTTTTTTCTAATTTCTAGAAAAGAAAATCTTGAAAGATATTTAGTCATCTATCATTTACCAGACTATAAATTTGAACCATGGCAATTATTGAAAGCAACTAAAAAATGAACTAATCTCTGATCACAATCTGCTATACGACTTCAACCACACAGTTATAATCAGCAAATTTTGGATACAAGATATGAAGTCAGAACTCTGAGGATTTTAATGCAATAAATGTTTTCTTCTCTAATACAAACCTTTCATTTTTAGTTGCCTAAAATCAACTCTGAGGATTGATGTTAATAAAACTGTACAATTTAAAATACCACCAATAACTAAAATAATTCAAAGGAGGTGACCTGTCCAATCTATCTGTTCCTGCTAATAACAACAGCTTTGGAGCAGGACAAGACAAAAATTTATCTGAGAGGCCTTCATACCTGTAAGAAAAAATATGAACTGTTCAATGGGATGATAAAGATACCATAAAAGTTACTTTCAATTTGATGACAAATGTAGCCTAATGGTCTGTTTAGAATCAAATTATCATGTTTTGCATTACAACGAAGTATATAAACTTACAATATGAGGCAATTATCCAACTATCACAACTAGAGAACCTCCACCAGCAGCACAGATGCAAGATTCAAACAATCTACCGTTTACTTAGAACACGTATACAAACCATTGGTTTCATTTGTTTATAGTATTTGATAAGTGATAACTACTGTGAGTAGTGAGCATGAAAATTTTAAGATAAAACATACCAGCCTTTCCAATATTGTTCAGTCTTTTCTAGCTCAGTTCGGTAAACATAACTGCAACATCAAATCAAGACCATGCTGATCAAATATAAAACTATAAATCAAAGCCTACGTAACCAGCATTTTTAGATTTGATAAAGACCAAAACTATGTTTTGGATTGTTCTGCTGATGTGATGGAAGGCTCAGTGAGAAGTACTGACCATTTCTTTGAATCATCATAATTTAATGTGGCAGGAATTGATACACGAGCAGAGTCAACATTTCTTAAAGAGCCACCCCTGACACTCCATTCAATCTGCACAGAAGCAGTTCAACTCAAGTCAAAATTCACCAGTTCAAATGAAACAACAACGAAGCACCACTTACATAGAGATTACAATCAAACACCACATTATGTAGGTACATTAACACAGCCATATGACATGTAACCATTGTCTCTCCAACAAATTCTCAATTGATGCTTTTGTGATTTTGGCCAGTGAATGACAGAGACAGATTAACTGTAATAAAGTAAAACCACTTGGCATGTATTAATGCTAGAATGTAGTTAGTAAACTTGAAATACAACTTCTGACAGCCAAACACCAGACATTCTTTGCTTCAATATACTTCCTTTTTTACAAATATTCCTCAAACAAACACTTTGTTGATCTTGGTTCTTGTCTTTGAGGTACAAGGGCCCTTCATCACACACCCTGTGCACTGACAAGTTACTACCTTGCCATGAAGCTTGTAAACTAGTTCTCTCAATCTAAAAGCTAACAATTTCCAGCAATCTGGCCACTTATATCATTAAAAATTAATGATTATAACTTTTTTTAAGATCTTTCTACAAAAAAATTTAGTTCCAAATATCAATTTCCAGGACACTTCTAAAACAGGGCACAATATCCTAGAGGAGGATGATATACAAAAAGAAATATTTTAAGATTGTTTTAACACGTGACAAGTAAAGAAAATAATTAAGATCAACACAAGAAATAGTTGTCTCAACCAAATAACAAAAAACTTGATATGCAAATGAAAGAAGGTATAGAGTTGGAGCTTACAGCTTTTTCAATGCTTGAAAAATGTTGCATCCTACTTGATAGGATTTTCTGCATATGAATTAGAGAGGCCATTGCTGTTCCCTGAAATTTTTGTGACAATCAACACTTCTGTGGCAATGATGAGTAAGTAATCATGGGAAGCAATAAGGAATTTCATAAGTAGTAGAAACCAACCTCTACAACATCCACAACAACTAACCCAGCCAAGGTGGACAATGATCTACTTGCAGCAACATGCACAGCAACTGATCCTCCCATGCTTTGATGATGAAGCAAATATCGATCAATGATTGTTAATATTATACACCAAAGTAAATATAGTTTATATAAGAAGAGAAAATCTAATCAAGTTAGGGTCACCAAATATTTCTATAGGAATAAAATTCATAAACAACAAAAGAAGAACCAAGGTTTTTCCCACTACGTGAGGTAGGCATAAAATTCATCAAAGAAAGAAAATAAAAGTGGAAAATTGAGGACAAGTGGTGCAAATACAAAGAGAAAATAAAATAAAAAACACAAAACACAAATATATGCAAGAGTAAATGCAAATGTGAAATCAAAGCAGCCATGCCTTACAATTATACAGAATATCCTTGCATTGAACTGAGGTTCACCAATCACATACAACGAAATCAAAACATTTTCACAGTCATGCCTTAAGGTTTTTCAGCAAATGCATTATGCTTATGAGTTATGAAACGCGATTCATAATGATGGAAGGATGATAAATCTAGTCAGATGGAATGAAGTTGTGGTGATGAGACACGTAACAAATATTAGGAAAAAAAAAGTTTAGACTTTGGCTAATGGCTTCTTCATTTCAGACAAAGAATATAGGGTTCTTCTTTTCTCAACTTAGTCAATTCTGTTGGTTACTTGTCAATCCCCAAAATCTTTGAACACCCAGAACCAAATTAATTTTCCTTCAATTAAATTTCAAACAGCAAACTAAACAATTGTCTTAGCATAAAAATATAAACAACATGCCACCCGCAATTGATAACCATACCATTAAACATGACTCTAAACAACATAAAATATAATTACAAGACCTTTGACTTTCTCCCCTTTAAATTATATGGTAAGAAAGACTCAATCTTTTAGAATTAGAAGGTTATTGAGAGCTGTATCATATCATCATCTAACGAAGACAGTTTATAATCAAAGTCAAAACTGTACAGATATTTTATCCTAATTTTCTGCACATCTATAATCTGGAAAACAATCCAAGGTTACTTCCAGCAAATGACATACTTAACAAAGATAAAAACCAGTCAATAAAGTGGAAAATTATTAATAGATTCCTATGAAATTTGCCTTCAAAATCAAATATGAAAACCCCAGAACCAATTCCAAAAGACTATGAAACAACAGAAATCCAAGCAATTTAATTTAAGATAGAGAATCACCTGTGACCAACAAGAATAATTGCTGGAGGAGAATCCCCATACAACTCCTTTATAACAGCCAATACATCATTGCACATAGTCTGTACAAAAAGATGATCACCTCTACATGCAGATGAGTAGTACATTCAGTTTAATATTTTTACTACTTTATACCTCAACAGATAGGTCAAGATCATTTTCTGTCAATGATTTCCCGTGACCTCTCAAGTCCATTGCAACTATCCTAGCTTTCTCCTTGATTTTATTGGCTGAGACAGCAAATGAAAGCCTGTAATGTAATATAATGTGAAAGCTTTCATCAGATTGCAAACTTTACAATAAATATTGAAACAAAATGTAGCTAAATGATGTGTTTCTAAATTCAGATGTTATGATATCTAAAGACTTTTTAGGCATTTACAACAACAACTAAATCTTTTCGTACTAGATGAGGTCAGCCATATAGATCATACAATTATATTAATTTTTATCCTATGTTTCAGCCTTCCTCTACCTTTAACAATTGGACTATCTTCTATCTAGTTAACCCTCCTCACTCCTCCCTAGTTCTTTTACTAGTCTTCCCCACACATGCCCACACCATCCAAGACGAGACAACTATTTTTCTGCAACGGAGACTGTCCTTTTCACTATAATAAATGTATTATTAATCCTATCTTGTCTTGTGTACCCACTAGTCCATGTTAACACTCTTTACTTCTACAATATTAAGCTTACTTTCTTGGCTCTTTACCACCCAACACTCAAACCCATATAGCAGTGCCGGTCTTATTGACGTGTGGTAAAATTTTGTTTTAAGACTTAGGCATAAAAGAAGAAATAACTTTTTAAGTAGATATGAATACTAATTTATGTGGACACACTTCCAAATACTGCTTATAAGAAATAGAGAATAAGCTGGTAGAGAACACATCTTTGGTAATAGGTTCTCAAGCCAGTTACAGTTCTCCAGCATAAAATTTCAATGCTTGAATAAAATGTCGTGAACCAACTATACCCAAAGCTGAATCTTTAGATAATGTATTCTTAGAACTAGGTGCAAACATTTATTTTTCCTTTGAAATCAATATAACTAAGTAACTTCACTGCTCAAAATAAAGGTAATTAACCAAAAAATTGACGGACCAGGATTCCCTACAATTTTTGGGGCCAACTGCAGGGCGCAGTTACTGCAGGGATCCCGGTCCAAAATTTACACACTGTACTGCCAATGGTTTCAAATGAGCATTAATTAATAGCAGTAAGAGACAATAACCCAATTCCAATAATGCTTAATGGACCGTGAATTAAAACTACGAGATAAAAGAATGAATACGAATATATCAGCAATGACTATCAATCATACCCACAATAACCACCACCGTGTAAACAGAATACAACGGGGCCCTCTGTTCCTGCCATGTAAACGTGAAAAACCTGAATAGACGAAAAAAATGTTATAATAAGATTCTTCTCGGAAGAATAGTAACACCACACTTTCTAAAACACTATTTGTAACACATTTCTAACACACACATGATCTTCACGGTTTTCAATAAGTTTAGCGAATAGTTGGAAGTGTGTTAAAAAAGGTGTATTAAAGACTCAGTTGCTAACATTCCTCTTTGCGTAAACATAAAAAAAATAAAAAATAAAAAGTCACAGAAAGCAGGATTTTGATTTGCCACACTAACATCATTTGATTCGGGAATTGCAACGTCGTCTTCTTTGTCAAAATACACGGACCAATCTACGGGTGCGTATTTTTCTGAAGAGCTCCTGCGATATTTAACAGTTGAAATGGAATGAGAAGATAAAAGCGATCATAAACGCAATCGCGCACATGCAGATGCAAGAAACTCGTGAGAAGTGAAAACATAATCGCGCACGGAGAAAGAAGAAGATCGCTCAAACTTACTTAGTCGGTGGGCGATGAGGAACGGAAGCGAAGGCAGAGGTAGGTTGAATTTGCTGTTGTGAGTGCTCGTCTGTGGTATCTTCGGGAAGCGAAGCCATGTGAGAAGAATCCATAACGCTCTTTTTCTCTTTCTCTTACTTTCTCGATCTCAAGTCCAAGCTCTTGCAGAATAGAACCCGAACCCGAACCAGAACCAGAAGCAGGTGCGGTTTCACTTTACTTCTTCTGGCGTCCAACTTTCTGTTACTTATGCTCGATTAATTACGTGTCTCAATGATCTTAAATTGCTTAAACAAACTTATTACAATAATTAAGTATAACTTGATAATTTTCCAATTTAAGTGACAAAATAATAATCATAATATATTATCAATCCTTATTTAAGTTATGTTCAAATTTAGGCAAGTGATTATAACCAAAAATTTGATTATAATAAGCGTTAGGAGGAATATGTACCAATGTCATGCATAAAATGTGTATTTTTAGAAAAATACTAATTAAATTAAAATAATTTGGAGTTGATTATTCTTTGTGCGTGAGCTAACAAGTTACCTGATGAAAATTACAATTTTACGATGAAAGAAGTATATATGTTTATCAAATTATTCATATATTTGTCTTAGGTTTATTTTTAATAAATAAAACTTGTTCAGATGGTCTAAATCCATAATATTTTTTATTAATAAATCATTAAAAAATTATGCATATTGTAAATTAATGTCATATTAAATAAAAATATTGTAACAAATAATAATAAAAAAATTATTTTACACCATATTTATATTTAGATATTACATTTTTTTCATTTTTTTATAATACACAAAAGACTCACTTAGTAATTAATATATGATAAAAAAAATAATGAAAAAATAAACTCGTATGAATGAACGGTAATATAATTCATAGAAAATATTATTTTTATTTTTATTATTAAAATAAAATAATAAAAATAACCGCATAATAATAATGATACTATAAAAAATAATAGACAAAAAAGTAATAATAAATATCACATATCCAATGATGGTTATAAATATAAATATAAATATATTAATAATTAAAAGTTAATTACTTTTAATAAAGATTTGTGATTCCAGGTTTTTTATGCTAAATATATGTTAAGAATTAGAAAATATCTCTTATTTAGTAAATATCAACAAGTATCTTACTTTTGAAAATAATTAGTTTTTATTTGAACTACTTTTCTTGATTTCTAAGATGGTTTACCATATGAGTTTACTATTAAAATTTGGGCAGGTATTCATATTATGTTTCTGAAATAGATAAAAACTTGTTTGTTTTTAATAGTGTTTGAGATTAGAAATTTTTAAACTTTTGGTTGCTTAGGCAAATTTACAATATTATTGTTAAGATTATTCAAATCAAAATTTTATTTTTTGAAATTTTAATGAATTTAAATTTTTTTAATTAAATTTTACTATCGGTGGATATTTAACCTTATTGTTGTAAATTCTCTTTTTAATAATATTTTTAAAATGGTTTTAAAATGGTATCCCCTCCCTCCAAAATTACTTTATTTTTTTTTTTTAATTTATCATAGTATGCTTCTAACTAATAATATGAGACATAGGAGAGCTAAGAGTATTCTAATATTTGTGCTAGATGTGATGAAGGTCCTAAAATTATATTTCATGTTTTAAAAAATGTTCTTATGCCAAAATTGTTTGGGATCATTTTATTTTGTCAAATTAATGAAATGGGTTTGATTTTTTAGTTCTAAATATAGGATTAGTTATTTTATAATATAAATAATAAGATTCTTTATAATTGTATTAATTGAAATAAATTACTTAGGATTATTGATTGACATTTATGGGAAGATAGAAATTATTTTCTGTTTCAACAGTCTTATATTTAGCCTAATTTACTTATTCAAAAAATTATTGTAGATGTTAATTATTTAATTTATTATTCCAACTTCCAAGAATTCTTCTACATGTCTCTCTAAGATCACTAAAGACTTAATGCATGTTAATGGGTGTCTTTGAATCCTAGATTGCCCTAGTTAATTGTAGATGAGTCATCTTTCTTTACTAGTATGAGTGTTGTGTGTGAAAGACTAATTAGTGATGCTCAAGGCCAAAAATTTTTCTAGTATCATCCACAATTGAATTTACGTTCTTCTTTAGAGGTTGAGTTTTGGGGTATCTATTTAGGAGTTAATTGAGTAAACTCTCAAATTAGTCTCCTAGATAGTACCAGTTGTGCATATTTGTCTTTTACTTATTTAAATTGTAATAGTCTCTTGAAAAATATTAATTTTTACCATTAAATGACACATAGATGTTAAAATGACGTTGTTCCATGTTACCTTTGCAATGAGTGCATTAAAGTAAACTAATTAGCAAATGTATTAAATATTTGTAGCAAGTAATAAAATTTAGAATTCAATTTAAGTCTCAAGTATAGTCCTCAAGGATCTTAATTATCAACTATCACTTCACAATTTGATAATTATTTGAGTCATATAATTGATTTGGAAGGTTTATAACATGTAAAGATAAGAAATAACAACAATAGAAAACTATGAAAGTGTTGTAAAATAGAGTTGCGAATTTGTGTTAAAATGCTACGTGAAAAGTAGTTAAGATTTTCAATTGCAATCTAATCATATTCTAGACTCTTAAGAAATTTAATTGATTGATAATCAATTTCACTTGTTTAATAAAAGAACAATTTATTGCCTCATTGATCCTAATATCTAACTAAATAACCATAATTCCTTAGGTGTAATTCAATTAAACATTGCATTAAGCCTCGAAAATTATAGGATTACAAGGTTATAAATGCTTATCCCTAAGATATCATTAACCTTGGCATATGATTCAGATATGAGAAACTAACTCAATTTTCATTAATAAAAATTCTTCTAAGTTCAATTCAATTAAATGATCAATCCAACAATTGCATTAAAAACAGAATCAAATGCTCAAATCAATTAAAATCTCAAGGTCTAGATCCACAATTAAATCACAATATTAAATTTGAATCCATAATCCCTAACAAAAATGGTTTAGAACAATATTACAAATGGAGAAAGAAAAGCAAGAGATGATGAAGAAGAAGAGCAGAAAAACATCTTAAAAAAATCCAATATTCAATCTGATTCATCAAGGATTAAAGCCTGAAAGTCACTCCCAATCTCTCTCTCTCTCTCTCTCTCTCTCTCTCTCTAACTCTCCTAAAAAGTTAAAATGAATGAAAATGAAAAAATGACAAAAGATCCCTATTCTGAACTATTAACCGCTTTTTATATTTTTTTCCACCACTCTCTATGTTGACACTTTAATTACTTGAAGTTGTAACGTAGAAAGTCTTCTAGAAGCTTCTTAGGCTGAAGTGAGAACTTTAAACGCCCAAAGTGGTCACTTGAAAGTAGTTTTGCCAAGTCTGATGTTGTGCGTTAACACTTTAAACACATAGAGTGTTAATGCGCAAGCCTTTATGCAAGATTATAGTTGCTCGTTAACACTTTGAATGCATAGAGTGTTAATGCGGAAGCCCCTCATGAAATTTTGCCTTACGCGTGTTAGCTTCAAACACAGAGTTGTAAAGTGCAACATCTTTATGGAAATAAGCCTTGCATGTGTTCACTTTGAACACATAGAGTTGTAGCATGCAAGCTTCTCTTGAATTTAACTGTTGGAGTATTTACTTTGAGCACTTGAAGTTGTAACACACAAGCTCCTCATGGATTTTCTTCTCCAAAATATCAACTTTGAACACTTAAAGTGTTCACTTTGAACTTTAATATTTTTTAGAACCTCTAGAGTTGTCACTTTATGCATCCAGAGTGATAACTTCCAGCATATATCAATTGATTCTTCACTTTTTAAGCCCAAATCTTCCACTTTATTCATTTAGCTCTCAACTTCAAAATCTCCAGCTCAAGCTTCTACACAAAATGAACCTTTTTAGCATAATCATTCCAGAATTAAGATAAAATCTAAAATTCTGAACTATTCACACAACTTTGAATACAAATGCAATGTTTATGGTATTTTCAGTTTTATTGGTTATTTAACTACTTATTTACTATTAAAAGCTAAAATAAAATACTAGTAAAATATGGATTTATCATTCCACACCTCCTACACACACTCTTATGTCCCTCCTCCTCGAAGATTAGCAGTGGTCTGAGTCTTAAGGCTACCGTCACTCTATTTCTCTTCATGAAGTTACATCTTTCATGGTGATTCGCGCTCCCAAAGCCCCCACCACCTCTCCCTCTCTTTCCTTACCTCAAAGCCACACTATTCTCCTTTCTTCTTTCAAATTAGTGCATTTTTTGGTTTCAATTAGTCTTGTTTTAGGTGTACTACTTTATTTTTATTTTGGTGTTATATTGTTAACTTATTTTACCACTGTCCCAAGTAAAAATGTAATTTATAGTATTTATTATTACATTAATGGATCTGGCAATGGTCATCTCACCTTAAGGGAGCTAAATTGTGAAAACATAATTAATGCAATGCATCACGCTGATAAAGAAGAAGGTATTAACAAGGTTTTAAGGTATTACTATCATTATCATTAGTAGTATAAAGAGGTCATAAATACTTTGTGGCAACATGTAGTTAGGGAGAATGCATGGTGGGGGCGACTTGGAACATTGTGGTTAGGGAAATAAAGGTCAAAGATGAGAACAATAATATTGAAGCAAAACCGGTCAAATTAGTTCTTGATCTTGTGTGAAATAATATTATTTTAGCATCTTATGTATCACTTAATGGCAAAAGTTAATATTGTTAAACATTTGTTAACAAAAAAGACTTAACTATATAGCAAACTAATATGTGAGTGATTAATGTGACAATTTAAATAAGTAACGAGACTAATATGCACAACTTCTATGGTCTGAGGGACTACTTTGGTGTTTACTCAGATTTAATTTGATTGTTAAGAAGAGTATTTGTAATATTTGAATTGAACAAGGATTAAGGAAAATTCAGATCATCCTAACCTCTAGTGTTTTGAATCTCGAGATCCCTCTTTACTTGTTGAAGTTAGTATTTATTTTGTTATAAATATTTGTTTTGCTTTAATTATAATTTTAGAGCTTTTTTCAAAATCAAATAATTGATATTGTCTAAATAGAAATTTGATTAGTGAAGTGTTGTTTGGTAAGTCAATCTTTCTAAGACATTTTTTAGTATATTTTTAGTGAATTAGAAGAAGAAAAATCATTGAGCATGTTGAGAGAACACAAG